TAGTTCATTCATTCCACACAGACGGATATATTTAAAATGTTTCTTTTAAAGTTGATGATTGTAACTGACAATTAATAAAAAACCCAAATTCAGTATCTCAGAAAACTGGAATATTACTTAAGCCCAATTTAAAAAAAAAGGATTTTTTAGAAATACTGGCCAATGTGAAAAGTATGAACATGAAAAGTATGAGTATGTACAGCATCAATACTTAGTTGGGGCTCCTTTTGCCTGGATTACTGCAGCAATGCAGCGTGGCATGGAGTCCATCAGTCTGTGGCACTGCTCAGGTGTTATGAGAGCCCAGGTTGCTCTGATAGTGGTTAGCAGCAGCATGAAGTGCTCTAAAACTTCCTGGTAGATGGCTGCGTTGACCTTGGACCTCAGAAAACACAGCGGACCAACACCAATATGATATGGCCCCCCAAACCATCACCGACTGTGGAAACTTGACAGTGGACCTCAACAAACGTGGATTCTGTGCCTCTCCTCTCTTCCTCCAGACTCTGAGACCTTGATTTCCAAGGAAATGCAAAATTTACTTTAATCAGCGAACATAACTTTGGACCACCCAGCAGAAGTCCCAGGCGAGATGCTTCTGACACTGTCTCATGTTCAAGAGTGGCTTGGCACAGAATGTGACAGCTGAAACCCATGTCTTGCATACGTCTGTGCGTGGTGGTTCTTGAAGCACTGACTCCAGCTGCAGTCCACTCTTTGTGAATCTCCCCCACATTTTGGAATGGGTTTCAGTTTACCATCCTCTCCAGGGTGTAGTTACCCTTATTGCTTGTACACTTTTTTTCTACCACATCTTTTCCTTCCCTTCGCCTCTCTATTAATGTGCTTGGCCACAGAGCTCTATGAACAGCCAGCTTCTTTAGCAATTACCTTGTGTCTTGGCCTCCTTGTGCAAGGTGTCAATGGTCGTCTTTTGGATAACTGTCAAGTCAGCAGTCTTCCCCATGATTGTGTAGCCTACAGTCCAAAACAGTGAAATGGTAAAGATGTAGTTACTATACATATATACATATATATTCCCAGTCAGGAATCAGTTGAAGTGGTTCGATCATCTGATTGGGATGACTCCTGGACGTCTCCCTCCTGAGGTTTTCGTGTCCCACTGGGAAGAGACCTTGGGTCAGACCCAGAACTTGCTGGTGGGGTTACATATCCCCTCTGGCCTGGGAACACGTTGGTAGGAGTGAGCTTGTTTAAATCCGAGGACATAATCGCAACCAGGTCAACGGCGAGCCATTGTCTCAAGCTGATGAGTATCTGGGAGTCTTACTCTGTATAGGGTGGCTGGGTGAGGAGCTCCTCGGAGTAGATCCGCTGCTCCTCCGCATCGAAAGGAGTCGGTTGAGGTGGTTCAAGCATCTGATTAGGATGCCTCCTGGGTGCCTAGGTGAAATGTTTTATCTTTTACCATGATGTGACTCATGATATCAAAAAGTCAAGAGTCAACAAAAGCATTCGTTTTTGCAGTAATAAGTCCATGAAGATATTATCTAGCAATCCCTGTACCTAAAGCATTAAATAATTTTCATAATCTTACCTTTAATTTGAAGATTTGAAACTGGTATATGTTCAGAAATAATTTAGTAAATCTGATCATTTCCTCTGAATTTAACATTTTGAAGAATTCCTCATGACACATTTTGACAGCAGTTTAATTTTATCTCTATAACCTTCATAGTGTCTTTTTATTATTTATTTTTTGTTGTTGACCACGAGCCCCACCCCAGTGTACACCCATTTTTTTCAACTTAAGAGGAAGTCTTGTTCTCAACAGGTATTTTTACATCATCCATGTGAGGCTTCTGCAAGGACCCAGCAGCACTTCTACATTTTTTCTCCGCAACAATGTTTTTATTTTACCTGCAAACCTTTTTTTTTCCTTTACACAAGAATTTAAATCATTTTCTATTACCAGTGTTTGAAAAGGGGGAGAAAAAAAAACTCAAGTAAAAATATCGACCATACCTTCCAAGGCGATATTTTCAAATGGCTTCATTCAGCTAACAGTTTGAAAAATCAAAAACTACTGACCTAAAGATGCTAAACAAATTAAATATCAGCAGCTGGAAGCTCAGCGTTGTTGGCACATGGAGGTTAAGTTTAACAATTACAACAGATTTAGTGTTAAGTGTTTTAATTGACCTATTGTTTCACCAGGACAACAGATTATGTTTTTACACTAACGTGAGCCATGCTAACAGTGACCGAGTGTGTCCCTGGTTGACGGACCCCCCCTGTAAAAATGACCATCTGTCCTGCAGACAAGCCAAACGCTGCAGGAGCAGAGGAAGCTGCAGCTGCACACGACTACCAACGCTCCTTTCTCTGTGGAAGAAAACCTGAATAAATGATATAATTAATCATGGACTTTCTGAAATTAAAACAAAAAAAATAATAAAATAAACAGTTTTCCAATTGATCTCGTGTAGAAATGAGCTCTTTACAACAGTTTGCCCTCCGACCTCCAAACACCAATAAAAACCAGTTCAGGATTTGAGAATCTCGTCTCTCCAGCTGTCTCGATCCCGCCTTTGTCGCTTTCGAGCGAGTTCTGGAAAGTAGGCGTTGTTGTACGGCCTTTCCCTGTCGTCCACCTCCCTCTGCGCCTCCTTCCTTTTGCCGCTCCTCTGTTCGATGAGGGCGTGAGCTCTCCTGCGCTCTTCAGCCTCCCTCAGCAGACGCTCGGCGCGCAACCTTTCCATGGAGCTGAAGCGAAAGACAGAGCGGACCTCGTTAACCACATCAGCGGACAAAACAGCTCGAGAACTCTGGACCCACTGATAGGCCTGTTGCAATAAACAATAAATCAATTCATCGCATGATGAATGAAAATTATCGACCTCATTTTCATTTATTGGATTATCGTTTTTTCTTGTCTCTCTCTTTCTAATGAAGACACGGCTCAACTCTGGTGCTCTTCACTGACTCCTCCCTTTCTCTTTAAAATCTGTTTTAACCATAAAAAAAATCATGTTTTTGGATTGTTAAAAGCAGCTAAGCTGAGAAAATAAGCTACGAGCTATGCTAACAGGCTGACCTCGGGAAAAAAACTCAGTTTTTTCAAAGCGCCTCCCTCCCATTTTTCTTTAAGAGACGCTGGTCGCTCCCTCACTATCCATCCTTCGGTTTAACGCAGTTAAACTGTCTTATACTGCCATCCGGTGGTCGAATAAAGGTACTACATGCAAAACAAAATATAGAAAACATTTCTTAAATTTGACAATAATTACTAATTATTGTCAAATTTCAAACTATTTTATAGTTTATCGCAATAATTTGTGAGACAATTAATCGCCCAGCAAAATTTGTTATCGTGACAGGCCTACCCATTGATGCAGGTTTAAATCAGGACTAAATCACAGAACAGCCCCATGATCAATAACTGCGGTGTGTGTATGATCAACATCACCTCTCCCCGCTGCTCTTCTTTTCTGTTTTTTCTCTTTTGTCCTTCTTCTTGTGCTTCCTTCTCTCGTACACGCCGAGCGCTTTCTTCATGTCCTTCATGGGATCCAAACTGTCCTTCAGCCTACGATCCTTCTTCTCTCGCTCCTCTTCACTTATTCCCTTCTTTTTGTCCTTTTCCTTAATCTCCTCTTTCTCTTCGCTGCCCTTCAGGTACCATGGAGTCACCTCGGAGCCTGGCTGGGGTCCTAAAGACACAAGTAAGCCGATTGCTCGCTCCTGCCGCTCCTACATGAAAAAAATAAAAAGATGAACAAAATGTATCAAAGTGGGGTACAAAACATACTGTACATCCTTATTATGTAATCAGTTTTATTTTATTTTTTTCTCTTTTCTGAGGTTTAAAAATCCGATTCCCAGAGAAAAAATATAAAATCTAATGTGGAAACATTACATTAAGGAGGCTCTGAGTATTTTCAGCTGGGGGCAGCAGTGGTAGGAGAAAGAAAAACATCACCTAGACTGCAGCCTTAGTTAAAAATATATATATATTTTTTAACTTAATTAGTCTTGATTATCATGTAGGCTCCTGGAAGGAGGTATCAAGGCTGCAGCCTGGTACTGTGAAACTACTGCTGTGATGTCCAACCCTAATCCTCGAGGGCCCAACCCTAATCCTTGAGGGCCACCGTCCTGCATGCTTTAAAGGTTTCTCAGCTCCAACATGTCTGGTTTAAATGAACGGGTTCTCTGCACAACGTAGAGTTAATTAAATCACTGGATCAGGTGTGTTAAAGCAGGGAAACAGGTAAAACTTGCAGGATGATGGTCCTCAAGGACCAGGATTAGATCCTGCTCTAATACTAAAGAGTCCTGCTGAGTCTGTATTTCAAATCGCCTCCCTTGCACAAGAGATGTGATCTCAATGGGATTTGCCTGGTTAAATAAAGGTTAATAAATAAAAAATAAATAAACAAGACACTTAAAGTCATGATAGCTGACAAAATACACAGTTTTCAAGGTTTTGATTTCTGACACATTTTCTACATAAATGATTGTTTAAGGTTAATAAAACTCAAACTCAAGGCTTTGATAAAAACTGCATTAGAAAATAATTATTCCTCGTCTTTGCTTGCAACTAAATTTAGCGATTAGCTACAAAAATTCTCTGGTTAGTTTGCGTCAACCCTCTCCACCGCTCGACTTCCTCCCCCAAAATTACACCTTACAGCTTTTAGTCGACGTTTCTTTTCCGAAGAGAGAACTCAACCTTTTCACTTTCGACCTGGAGTCTGATTTTTTTCTTCTGACTCTGCTTAAAGTCAGGGATTATTTAATCCGTTGCAAGCAGAGACTGTCCAACATCTACTCGTCAATGATCGAATGTAAACAAATGACTTGTAATTATTGGCAACAACACCTGACTGTTGATTTCACACATTCATTAAAAAAATAAATAAACTTTAGTACTAAATGATGTGTATTTTGTGTGGGTCTTTTTGTCATAAAAACACAAAAACAAAAAAGTTCAAATAAAAAAACATTGAAACGTTGCATATTTTGACGGCTATCATAACTTTAGATAAGAACGCCAAATAATGAGTGATTTTTGAGTTTAAACAAGACTGGCGGGGATGGCTGCAACTGGTGCAAAACCACAACCATGTTGGTTTAATCTAAAGCCGGACAACAGGAAGAAAGGCAGACTAATAACTCGTGGGATAATTTACATGTAAAAGTGCACGGGGCCCGTCACCTTTTCTTCTTTCTTTTCCCGAAGATATTCCTCATTTCCCTTCTTCTCTGAAGACTCCTCCAGAGGGAAAAGGTTGAGATGCTCCAAACTTTCTCCGCTTCGTTCGTCGCCATCGTCGTCTCTCCTTCCTTCTGCTGACTGGAGAGAAGCCCGGGCTTTCCTCCGCAGGTACTCAGTACGGGCCTGTGGAGATTAACACCTGGTGTTACGAACTAAAAATACTGAATGACTGAAGATTCACAGCGCAGGCACGTCTTAGGCTGGAGTGTTATTTTGATGGTATCGCTTGGAATTTGACTTAATTTGAGGATATTTTTGATAAGTTCGCTCCCCACGTGTAAACATAACATCACTGATTAAAAACAAGTACCCCATTTAAATGACAGTGAAATTGTAAAGATGTAGTTACTATAGGTTTGTTAGGAAACCCAAAACATTAGCTGTCTAATTCCTAACAACAATGTACATTTATTTATCTTTATAGTTAAGTTTTATAACCTGCAAAGTATTTTATTTATTTACTTTTAATTAGACAGGTAGTCTTGTTCGCAAGAGAGACCTGTAAATTGATGAGTAGAGTCAGACTGACATTAAGTGTTTCAATCAGTCGTTCTTCACAACGTCTGAACGTTTTTTTACATTCTAAGACAAAATAAAATATGAGATTCTTGTAAAGAACAAAATATATAGTTTTTGTCCAGTTTCTAAAAACTAAAATAATAAACTATGTATTTTTATGTGATTTTTTTATTTTTTATTGTAGAAAAATTACATATCTTACTTTGAAGAAATAAAGCATATAAAGTGAAAGTGAGTTATGTTTTAGTCCTTGTTATTTTTTCATTCAAACTTTATTTAGACGTTATGTTTCTAGTATTCATCCATCCATCCATTATCTTTTACCCGCTTCTTCCATTTTGGGTCACGGGGGTCGCCGGTGCCCATGTCCAGCAATCACTGTACGAGGGGCGGGGTACACCCTGGACAGGTCGCAAGTCCATCACAGGGCCACATAGAGACAAACGAGACAAACAACCATTCACTCACACCTAGGGACAATTTTAGAGTTACCAATCAGTCTAACATGCATGTTTTTGGTCTGTGGGAGGAAACCGGAGTATCCGTAGAAAACCCAAGCATGCACGGAGAGAACATGCAAACTCCACCCAGAAAGGCCCCCGGAACAGGATTTGAATCAGGGACCTGCTCGCTGAGAGGCAGCAGCTCTACCACTTGCACCACCGTGCTGCCCTTTCTACTATTCATATATTTGCAAAATAAATTACAGGAAAACTGCTAAAACTAGCCCTTTTAATTGTTATAACAACCAATAAAATTCAGTTTTATTTCAGTTTTGGTCAAAGCTCGAAAGAGATGCTGCAGAGGGATCAAAGAGCTGCATGTGGCTCCAGAGTCGCAGGTTGCAGACCCCTGTACCGTTCCACCGGCCTCCCTCTCATTTATGTACTGTCTTACTACGGCTTACTTTCATTCCCCTTCTTTCAAGTGCATGCTTCCACCTCTCCAAGTTCTCTTCCACCTGTTCCCTGTTCTCACCACAGATCCTGTCATCTGCAAGCATCATAGTCCATGGGGACTCCTGCCTGCCTCCTTATATCAATCTGACCATGACAGTGTTGTGCAGTGTGTGCTGAAATAAAAAAGGAAAGTGGGCTAGAACACAAAGAAAAAAGTGATAGGACAAAAAACAACATCTACAGCGGATGAACAGTGTTTGAATTGAAAGTCTTTAAGAAGTAGCAGTTTAAACAAACAGCCTGTTGGCTGAGCAATGTCAACACTGTTACCTCCTGCTCTGCACGCTCCACGCGACGCTTGGCCTCCCGCTCCTCCTCTGCTGCCTGCGCCTCGTCCTTCCGCACGCGCGCGACGTTGTCCTTGTTGCGGACGTGCCAGCTCTTCTTCGGGAGGATGTTCATCGTTGCCTGGTGACAGGAGATTAGCAGGTGGCTAGCTCAGAATGCTAGAAGCAGTCGAGTCAGTTTGGTCAGAAACCCCGGTCAGTTTGAAACAAGAGGAATCATATAACGCGACAAAACGTGAGGGGGTAGTAGTCACTGTTTACATTTATATCCTTTGTGACGGTGTTTTCTTTGGAAACCAGAAGCTAGCATTAATAAAAGTTAGCTGTTTGCCTTTTACGTTGATAACGCAGCAGCAGGAAGAGATGTGGGAGATGCTCGATCACAGTAAGCTTCTCAATGTTTAAAGTTTAGCCTTAAAAACCCGTCACCGACGTTCTCGGCGTAGTAACATCGAGTAGCACTCGCTTCCGGTCCTCACAGGAACCAGTCGAGTAAAACCGGAAGTAAACAAGAGACGCACGTTTAAGCAGTTACAGAAATCTGACACTAGGGGGCAGCAAAACCACGCTTTTTTCTGATCACAGCCCTCCTGACACTGAACAGCATACACAACATTGCTCTGTTTGTGCCGGGGGACTGGATCTTTGGGATGAACCAGTCTTTGCCATAATGTATTTTGGGGTTTAAAAGCCACTGGGACGTTATGTTTAGAAAATAAACGTCTCAGTTTCTCTGATACTCCCTCAACATATGGAATGACCACTGGTCTGGGTCTGGGTTCCTCCTTTTCACCTGTTGGCTGACTGGAGTCCTGTTTGGGTTTCTTCTCTGCTTTCAGGAAGGCCCAGTTAGGATATCCACATTGCTCTAGAGCCTGTCTTGTGTGGGATTTCTCCTTCTGCCTGGCTCCTGAGCTAGTGGGGACGCTGTCTGCTCTGTGATACAGAGTCCTGATGACTCCTAACTTGTGCTCCAAAGGGTGATGGGAGTCAAACTGCAAATACTGGTCTGTGTGGGTGGGTTTGCGGTACACCTCAGTTTGCAAATGTCCTCTATCAGAGACTGAGACCTCACAGTCCAAGAAAGCCAACTTGCCATTTTTTACATCTTCTCGTGTGAACTTGATGTATTTATCCACAGAGTTGATGTGGTCAGTAAAATGTTGGACTTCCTGAGATTTGATTTTAACCCAGGTGTCGTCAACATACCTGAACCAATGACTTGGTGGTGTCCCTGAAAAGGACGTCAAGGCTCTCTTTTCTACCTCCTCTATGTACAGGTTGTCAACAATAGGAGAAACTGGAGACCCCATAGCACACCCATGTTTCTGCCTATAATATTGCTCCCCATATGTGAAGTAGGTTGACTGCAGGCACAGTTTCAAGAGTTGACACAGTTGTTCTGTGGAAAGCGTGGTCCTGCTGCTCAGAGTGGTGTCTGATTTTAATCTTAAACTGACCACCTCTACTGCATCATCAACAGGAATGCACGTAAAGAGTGATGTGACATCAAAAGAGACCATTGTTTCATCAGTCTCCATGATGACATCCCTCACCTTATCCACAAAGTCCATGGTGTTCTGTATGTGGTGTTCTGAGCTGCCAACTAAAGGGATGAGTACAGACGCCAGATATTTGAAAACATTGTAAGTGACAGAGTTAATCATACTAACAATTGGTCTTAAAGGTACACCTTGTTTGTGGATTTTAGGTAAACCATACAGACTAGGTGTGGCCTCCCCTGGGTACAGTCTGTGGTACAGAAAACGGTCAATAGCCTTGTCCTGCTCCAAATTTTTCAGGCAATTTTTTGAATGTCCAGAGGACCAGATTGAACTTTTTTGGATTTTTCTACCTGGATTATTGAGCATGTATCAGGATTTTTTTAAACATTTATTTGTTTATGACTGGAAAAAAATCCCAAATTGTGAAATAATATATTTAGCAAGTTTTGTTTTAACTAAGAATATAATATTGTTTTGTTCATTTGCTCATTTTGATGGTTAATACTTTTTCCTAAGATTTTTTTATTTTATTTTGTATTTTGTTAAACAATTAAAATACATATTTGGAAATGTTTTTCTTTTTTTATTGCCTTTTACAAGACAAGTGCTCTTATTTGTCTTTTATTTTGTGACTTACACTTTCTATTTGCATACAAAAAGTTAAAAAAGACTGCACAAATGCTTTTGAATATAAAACTAACATATATAAATATTTTGGTAATACAGTATTTATCATTAAAAATAACATTATTACAATACAAATTATAAATCAATAATCTCATTGTAGAACAGCCAGGATTATTGACAAAGATTTTATATAAATATATGTTTGGTTGCAGACACTGATCAAAGTTTTAGTGTTCAGTCGTGTTCTCCTGCACTGTGTTGGTGTCAGATGTTGTTGTTCAGCTTCTCAATCTGCTTCACCAAAAACTGCTTATCTTGGCCTGCCTGAAGACAGAGACACAACACAGCATCTGTTCAAGAGAATCTTCGAAAACAACTAAGAATGATGTACGTGTAGTAAAAATTAAACCTCTGACTGTAAATAATAACTTACCAATTTTAGCTGAGCCTTTAGCATCGCTACACTTTTTTTATAGATGGAGGATAAAGCGATGAAGTAAAACATAACCACACTGTTGGAGGAATAAACAGACAGTGAAGAACTGTAATGTGCAGGGAACGTTTAATGAGCCGTTTATAGTTCAGTTTACAGACATACACAATGAGAACAATCAAGAGAAAGAGGTTTGTAGGCTCAATTATCCAGCTAGATAACAAAAGAAGGTTAAATCATTTCATCTGGACCAGTTTCTGTAAGTAGCAAGTCGGCCATCTGGCCTAAAACATTTGATTGTTATACATGATGATTGATTGCTTTGGACAGATGAGTCCTTTTGCATGTGTTAAATGCTTGCTTCCGAGATTCCAACAGGAGGTTGGCTTGAAACACAGCAATGAAGGCTACTTATGGGACAGATCTGGTTGGCAGGCTACAGACTGATGAAGTCATCTGGATGGAAGACGATGAAATGATTTAACCTTCTTTTTTTAAATCAAGAGAAAGCACAAGTGCACTCACCATGATAATGCAAAAAGAGGTATGGAGAATGCCTGTGAGCCAATGAAGAAGAGAAACTCCTGTGTGACCTTAGAGAGACTATAGAACGAGTTGGGAACAATCTGCCACATGGTGGGGAAGAAACGGAAAGGCCCGCAGGCCATTGATGGTCGGATCCTATTTGGAGAGGCACAAAAAAAAAATCATCCTTAATGCAACACAACATTACAACAATTTAACACAATGTTTTCAGCACTCACTCTGCAAGACTATAAATCATGACAACCAGGGACAACATCCAGCCAAACAGGAGCACCACCAGGAAAAAGAAAGCGGAGGTGGTGGACCGAAACGTCTTCAGAGCTGGCCGGCAGTTGTAGAATAGTGTGATCTGTGGAGGAAAGCACAAGTGAGAACAAACCAGGAAACATCTGGATAAAATGTTGACTCCTATCAAAGCTGCAGCCTCACCTTTTTGCAGTAAAAGAGGATAACAAACTTAATGGTGTTGATAAGCGGCAGCAGAGGGCAAAAAAGAGCTCCTGTCCAGACCACAGTCTGACCATAAACCAGTCCAAGAACGTTAGAGGGAACCACAAACTCCTGCCGGCCCACCAGCTGAGACAGCTTACTGGACCAGTTGTCCACCACCATCCTGACACAAAAATAATCACGCAAATAAACCTTCTACATTCACACTCTGTCTTATTTGCAAAAACTGCTTTTTATGTAATAAGCAGCACCTGCGTGGAAATTCAACCAACACGAGCAGAGCGATGTTAACGAGGAGGTCAAAAAGCGTCAGCTTGTACATCTCCTGTCCCACACTCGTTTCCCAGCACTACATCAACGAAGAAACAATGAGACTAAAAACTCTTCGGGGTTAACTATAAATTGAGTTCATCCTAAAATAAATTATCAACAGAAACGATTCTGTTTTTTTACATCACACAACAACAACAAAACTGTTTTGTTTGTGTATCCGGCTCAGTGAATTATTATTAGCACTACTTTGTGTTTTTTGTTTTATACCATTCTGCACTAAAGTGGTATACTTACCTGGTATTTGTCATAGTTGTACTGACACGTTTCACACTCGCCCTCTTCTGTGTTCCCGTTGCAGGTGATCTGACTCCACAGCGTGAAGAGGAGGACGCCTAAACTCATCAGACGCAGGACCACTGCCCTGAACATTGAGAGGATGTGAGTAAATCCTGTTCACTCAGTGATGACCCAGCTTAATAACTGGACACAGATCAGTGGTTCCTCAATCCATCATCATACATGAAAGAAAGAATACCAGGTTGTATTTCAGTACAGTCACCCATCCTGGTAAAAGGTTTTAGGCCATTTATTTTTCAAAATTAAAAAAATGATAACATATTCAACAAAAAAAAAATTACTGTTAGAAACAGTTATTTTGAAATCTCCTAGTTTGATAACTTACATTTGAAGCTCTGTGTTAGGCAATTTTTGGTCAAAGTTTATGGATGTTTGTTGAATGTTAACTTTGCCCATGAACCATATGTTTGGGTTAGTAGAAAGCTGGATGAGGCTGCAGCATGCAGCCGGCACTCCAAGAACACCTCCGAGTCTGTGAGCTCAGCTGAACTGATAAGCGTATAAAAACAAGCTTCGAACACTGGTTGTGGCAGATTCTTGTGACTTTATTTATTTATTTATTTATTTCACTAACCTTTATTTATCCCATTGAGGTCACAGATCTCTTTTGCAAAGGAGGCCTGGGCCTGAAGGCAGCCTAACATGCATGTTTTTGGTCTGTGGGAGGAAACCGGAGTACCCGGAGAAAACCCACTCAAGCATGAGATGAACATGCAAACTCCACACAGAAAGACCCCAGTTCCAACCAGGGATTGAACCCAGGACCTTCTTGCTGTGAGGCAGCTGTACTAACCACTGAGCCGTCGTGCTACGTGGGCTTCATGCGTGTTCTTCCTGTATATCTGTGCGACCTGTCCTGAAAATCTGTCCTTGCAAGGACCCCACTCACCCAGCACACACTTTTTTCCCCGCTCCCCTCAAAAAGGAGGTTGAGGAGCATTAAGCGTAGAACCACTAAACTGAGGAACAGCTTCTACCCTGAGGCTGTTAGACTCATGAATCTCTAACTAGAATAGTTAATAGTGTTCATGCGTGCTCATCTGCTCACACAGACTCATGCTCATGTTCGTGCTGCTGTTCAACGTGATGTTTTTATGCTGTTAGTGCTTAGTGTATTTTAATGTTTTTCTTAGTTCATATCTTTGATCTTATTAGTTTTTCTTTTACATTTTATTGTTGGATGTAACTGGGACCCTGTGTACATAATTTCGCTCCACCACATGTACCACATGAGGTGCGAATGACAATAAAGAATCTCTGACTCTGAAATACTGGTTAAAAATCTTCTCCTGCTGTCGAGTGTGGCGCTTTTTGAGTAAATAAGATAAAGCGAGAATATTTTTCCCCAATGTTGATTTTGGGTTTTGTCCATTTCCATCTTTTTAAATTATGTTTTTTAATCAGCTAATGATACTTATCCTGTTATTAGGTGTAAATGTGGTAAAGGAGTATAAAACAGGGCTATTCAACTGGCGGCCCACGGGCCATTTCCAGCCCACGGGTGACTTTTTCTTGGGTGGGGGGGCAATGGGTTTGGGTTCTGTTTATTGCATTTATGATTCAATGCAATAAAATAAACTAATTTAAAATGTAACAGATCATTGTCAAACTTGGTTTATTTACATAATGACTTTAATCGCTGGATGTCCGGCCCCTGCCTGCTTTCATAAACTGTGGCCCCCTGAGCAGTTTTATTGAATAGCCCTGGTATAAAAGAAGCTTTTTTACTTATTCAAATGGTGTGACGTGCATTATCACCAGTCAAAGAAAATAAAAACTGCAAACCTTAAAAGTGCCACCACCACAGTAATGCTGGGAGAATATTTTTCTATCGAGGCGATTTGGTCACACAGCAGAGGCACCAGGAAGTTTCCCGCGGTGATGACAATAGATGGCAGATACTCTATAACCAAACCTAGAATCCCAGGCTTATCACTGTTACTCTGTTTGGAAAAAAAATAAAAAAAATAAATCAGAGACAAACTTGTTATCAAGATCCCATCTACACAATCACTATCACTTATATGAATGTTTATACCTGACTGAACTCCGTGGCAACAAAGATGCCAAAAAAGGCTGCTACGATGAGCCCAAATGAAATAAAAAACATTAAAACGCGCAGAGAGTATAAAGCTACTTTTTTCCACGGTGTAAGAGAAGCTGCTTGTTTCTTTATGCGCTCTTCCTCCAAATCCACCTGACGTAGACGGAAGACAAACGAGGGAGAAAAAATGTAAATGCAAACCGATTCGCGTCAGAAAGAAACAAATCCCCGTACGTTAGGTTGAGTGGATCTTTTTCAACCTGTAGCTGGTAGTAGATGTTTCTCTGCTTCAGTTTGGTAGCCTGGTTTCCCAGGCAACCATAGTCCCATCCTGTGAACACAATCATGCTGTAGTTGCTTATGGTGCTGCCTCCCGTTGCCACGGCAACTCGAACTGTAGCGCCCATGCTGTGTGTGAGCAACCATTTAGAGAATAGTAAAGAGATGCAGATCAGTTTCAGGCTTTTAAACGTCAGTCCATGAAAAAGCAAACCTTTTTTCCCCCCATTGTCTGGTGGTTTTATTGTTGGACTCACCGTGCTATGATGCAACAGAGACAAAAAGCAAAGTAGAAGACAGCAGTGAAGAGGTAGGCCAGAGGGATGTTGTAGAAAAGGCTCCTGTTCTCCATTGTATTGTTGTTGCTGTAGTAGTAGCCATAAAACATGAATGAATCCTCCATAAAACCCTGTAGATGAGTGACAGGAGAGGATAGGTGAGGTGCAAAAGTTTGACATTTCTTTATCCTGTATCATTACCTTTTAAAATCAAAGAAGTCAGAATCTCATGGTCTTACATTTGGAAGTTTTACGTCTCTAATAAAAGCTTAAAACAGACTTAATAATATAGCACAGAGTCTTTTTCAGAGGACAATTTGAAATTTAAAATCAACAGGATAAGTCATTTATGATTTAGTTTTATTTTGAAATCAAGGTTCCTGGCTAGGATTAGTCATCAAAACCAACTTAAGCAAAAAAAAAAAAAAAAAAATTCTTCAAGCTGTCTTAGTGGATTCCTGTAATAATTCCTCACCTTTCCTGAAAGTAAGTGAAGAAAATACTCATAGAAGACCACCAGGCCTTGAGGGTTTGGGTCATACTTCATACATTGTCCTTCATCTGGAAAACACAGAATTCCAAAGCTTTTAATATCCCAGAATATACTATATACTGTGCAGTATATTTACAGTATTACAGCCAATTTCTCATTATAAAGTTGATGTTCAGAAAGAACAGTAAGAGCAAGAGACAAAAAAGATCAATTTAGGACTGAGGCTTATTTAACAAAACTGAAAAGCAGCATAAACAAACTTCTCCGTTGAGTTAAATGTTTGAACACTTATATTTTCACTTACAGAAATATTCAGGCAATTAATTTTTTATACCATTTCTGCATAAATCTATTAATTTTATTTAACCCTTTTAAGTTGTGGAAAAATACCACACGTTGCACGGCTGCCTACATTTAGATCAGCCAGTTTAGAGGACTTTTGCACTGTCATATCAAATTCTAAAATCTGCTTCTAGTTTTGTTTAAATAAATTACCGTACTGTCCACCGTACACATTGTACCACCGTATAAGTCGCATCCGTTCAAATATGTCTAACAAAGTGAAAAAAAAAACCATAAATGAGTAGTTTTGCTGTGTAAGTTGCATCTATTATGCGTCACCGCTGACAACCCGAATATGTGGGCCGGTGTTGTGCCAAAAATTGATTGGCTGCCAAATGGTGGCTGCGGTAGCTTGCACAGGAAAACTTTAACAAGAATTTAAGAAGATTAACACTTAAAAACAATTATTTGTTTGTTCGAAATTATAGCAAAGGTGTGTCTCAGTTCAACTTTTCCTTAATAAATGCACTTAGATGGTCAAATCAGCTGCATTTCAAAGCTGATTCGCGGCTGCAGGAGCGCACAGGAGCGCGCAGGAGCGCGCAGAGCGACGACTCAGTGTGCATTTCTTCAAACTTTACCAAGATATCCACCTAAAAACAACTATTTGTTTGCTCAACATTATAGTAAAGGTGTGTCTCAGTTCAACTTTTCCTTAATAAATTCACTTTAATGGTCAAATCAGCTGCATTTCTTCTGGGCGGCGTGGCGAAATGCAACTGATTTGACGTTTGCTCAAGGAGTTCCGGAGCGAAACGAAGGTGGATTGGTATGGCAAGCCAAGTGTCTCATTAATAGCCACTTTTACATATTAACGAGACACTTGGCTTGCCATATTACTTGAGGTCCCCCTAGGCTGAAAATGGTAATGTTTATTTTTCATGTCAGAATGAATGAAATTGTGAGACCTCAGCCAAAAATTTGGTTATACAAGGGTGGAGTATATTAGTTGCAGGCATGCCAATTTATGCAAAAGGTGCGACTTATACAGTGAAAAATACGGTAAAGATGAGAACACAGGAAAAGAGGTGATGTGAAGTAGGAAAACACACGTCTGCAACGGGTGGGTTAGAGCAAAACAAAATGCTTCGTCACCCGTGCTGTTCACAACGCTGGTCCCTGCAGATCTGAAGACGAAGCTGGGGATGATGACAAACCCGGCAATCAGTAAGAAGGAAACAAAATTAAGAACAACCAGGAATCGGAGAAAGAGGAAGTATGACTCAACACCGCCTCCAAAGTTCCCTGCAGGACAAAAAAAAAAAAGTCCAGTTTAGATAAAACTGCAAAGTAATCTACATAAATATTATTTTGTGCAGTAACGAGCTCTTTCTTTTCATCTCCATTTGCAGCAGTGAATTAGGTGCGAACCTCCGATCTTTTGCAGGGATTTCCTCCACAGTGAGAAAAAGTAAAGAAACTCTCTGATGTTGTTTTTGAGTTTACGCAGAGATTTGTTGCGTTTCCAAGAATCAGCGCTGGAGGAAACAGGCGCATGCATTTTCTGCACCTGCCTGAAAGAGGAGAAAATACAAACAAACAGTGTTATTCTGATATTACTGCAGTTTAAATACGTTTACTGTCACATTTCTTTTGTCTTCTTACAATTTATAAGAATTTACAAAAGAACATCTGGATGAATTGTGCAAAATTCACCACCACTTGCTCTTGTCAAGGGCGGACGCATTCCCTCTCCTCTCCCTCCTCCGCTTTGCTTGCTTTGTCCTGTCTGTGAAACTACTTCAGAGCCTCTCTCTACATATCTTCCGAACCGTAAACTTTTGCGATGGATCTGGTCAGTTGGTCTCGCAACGCAACTGATAAAATTTTCTCGACGAGACGACAAGCCCCAAGAATGCATATACAATTGTATTTATGATAACTGGTTTCCTGTTTTTTTAGATTCAGCTGGTTCCTGGTCTATCAACAAACAAGGAAGTCGTCGGCATCAAATTTGGTCCTGGTCAGACTGCCTGGGTCTGTCCACTTGATTTGGACGTTTGGGATTCGAGAGGACCAGCAAAGACTCAAGGCAGACATGGATCAGTAAAGTTCTGCCTGTTCCCCAAACAAGTGTTGCTTATCTGAATTCAGCTCCCCGGCTGGCCTTGACTGGCCACCTCAATTATCTCAATTCACCTGGAGGTCCTGTAAATGGACACTCTGCCCCCTCTCTTCCCCTCCTACCGAGGAAGTCTGCAGACCTAACTGAGGGACCCGACTGAATAGTGTCATCATTTCAGGATTCTCTCTGGGACTGTTCCAGGTCAACCTCGGCATGAGAGCGTTTACAGATCTCACCAGAGAACTGACTGATGGTACCATTCTTACCAGAACTCCTACAGTGCCTCTAGAGCGTCCTTGACACGATCCCCGCTCGTCGTCTCCCCTTCCCTGCAGAATGTCTATGTCACTATGTGCGGGGTGTTTTTTCAATATCAGTCTCTCTCTTCGGTCAAGAAGAAAGAGTTTGATAGGATTTTTTTTGCCTCCAAATCCTATACATGTGTCACTTTCATTACTTTTTGTCTGTCTAAACAGGTCTCACTTGTAAATGAGTCTTCGAGGCTCAGTGTAATTTATCTGTTTAAGTAAAGGTTGAATTTTTTTTTTTTTTTTTTAGAAAAAGAGGCTTCAGTTGGTACATTTTAATCAGGTAATTGCTTTTAAAACTAAAAGGAATTGGTTGTTACATTACAGCTAATGAGCTAAACAAACCTTTTAACATATAAAAACATTAATGTGAATTATATTATTTAACTAAATAAGAATGATCTGCTATATAAATCTACTGTACATCATTCCTTTTTTCCTTATTTGGCAGAGCGTGTAGAAATCATGAGCGAATTTAAGGAAACAAATAATGAATTATTTGACAAATGTGTTTTTCTGAAGCAGTGGTGTAATATTTATCATTTGAGCACAAGAAATGCTGAAGAGCTGCCGAGTGATGTAACAGAACTGCTTATTAACTGCGATAATAACTTTAACATTCAGAAGGGACACCATTTTTCTTTATTTTGATTTCCTCACCTTAAGGAACACAAGCATTTTAATACTATATTTGTGACTTATGCATTTTTTATTGTAGTGAACATGAATATTTTTTACTTTGATTCTCAGATCTCAAACTCGTATAAATAGTTCAGAATGATCGTTTTGTACCTCACGGCCTTTTTCAGCTTCATGGGCCACGGGAGGGTCCTGAGGTCTCGGGGTGACTCGGCATCCCCCACCTCAGCCTCCTCTGCGGGGTGAGCGCTCCAGTTGTACCGAGGGTAGTTCTGATTGGACATTCGAGATGGAGCCCGACGAAGCCTGAGTGACTCCTGGTCAACGTGGAAACCATTTCCTGCAATTCAATAACAGAAGGAAAAATATTTTTAATCCAAATGAGATCATGTATTTTAGCGGAATCGTGTCACGCCAACATCTGTTCAGTTTGAGTCTTTTTATGCACAAATGATTCACATGTCAGAAATAAATGGCACAAACACTGTCACTAGTTGGACGCCTTACCTGAGCCTGGTCTTTGTAGTTCACTGGTCATTCCTCTGCCGGCTTCAAACGGCCTCTCTTAAAAAAATTCAGGAGAAACAAACGTGAAGCAGCTCTGTTCAAGGAAACACTGCCTATCTATGAAATACTTCCCTGTTTTCTCCTCTTCTGGACTTTACTCATCCCATAAATGAACACAGGGACTTCCTTGTACTTTTAACCCATTGTTGCCAAAACGACACAGAGACTTTCACTGTTGTGTGTTTCTCACAATCAGAACAAGCACATAAATATATTCAGTTAAAATCATTAAATGCATTATTTGCTAGAATTATCAAACATACTGTAAATAATGATTATTTTTACTGAAATCTGGTTGTGTATTCCAACAGAAATGAACCAAAACAACATTTAATGTGTACAACAAAATATTTTATTGTAGAATATAAGCACCAGCACAGCTCGGTTCTTAGGTGAAAGAAAATAGGGTGAAGTTGCTAAGTAGCTTCGTTTGTGTTTAACCGTTAATGATTTCCCTGACGGCCGTGTTTTTTTTCAGCCAGCTGATCCTAAAACTTTAAAAACCTATGACCAACCAGCAAAGTGTCACCAGAGTTTCACATCACAGTAAATCAAATAAATGAAATAAAAAGGGTAAAAATGACAACACAGTTTGCAATTCAAATGCCTTCAGCTCTAAATAGGACCTGATAAACAAATATGCATCCATCCTTAGATAAACAGCTAGTCACACAGTTTAAATGCAAATAAAACCACCTGACATTAAGACTCCGGTAATACGGTTTACTTACAGATTTTTTTTTTTCATTACATAAAAGCAAAATGTACACTTGTGTCAGATCATGTTGCAACACACTTTTGCTTCAAAACATTCCATAGCTGTCAAAACTTGCCATGTTAAAACAGAAATATTGAAAAATATATATTTTCAATAATAAAAATATCTAATAAGGGATATAATAAGTACCACTTAGCTCTAGCTGTGCAATTACTAGAAAGCAAACATAAGCTGCTTAAAGCAATTTAAAAAAAAACAACCTTGAAATTCAGGAACATTTGGTCTGAACCCTGCACGGTTCGTGATGGCAGTAAAGACGTTTCGGCAGTGAATGGACTCAATATTTCTCATATGGCACACTTTTAAGTTGAAACACTGACGCTGAAATAACTGGAGATCTTCCAGATTAAAGAGCTCACAAAGCCGAGACAAATATCAAAACCGAAATATTTTCACCTCACTGGACAGCTAGGCTGAAGCTCTGAAATGTTCAAATGAAGCGTGGAAACTGAACGTGTTGTTTCAACACTTAAATGCAGAGTCCAACTCAGTTTGAACTGATCCTAAACTTAATTAGGATGGTAACCAGATGAAGGTTTTAATGGGAAGTCATTTTTAAAACAACATGCCCATCACTCAATCCAGTAGAGGTTGTAAATTTTGAATTTCAGTCCCAATCAGCTGGAATTCTTCAATTACTTTTTGCAGACCAATTACAATATTTTCACTTTGTCTTTTAACACTTTAGAAGCTAACCGACTCCTGCTAGTCTTTAAAAACAACCGACTGACATAGCTGCCTCCTTATTTGACATTTGGGCTTGTTTTCTAAATATAACGTCGAGCACACGCTGAGTAAAATGACTGATTTGACCCAAACAACAAAAGCAACATTTACTGAGCTCATACGTTTGGCTCCACCGACACACAGCACATGAATGTACACCAGAAGAAACCTCTTCAGTGGGTGTCTGTACTAAAAGTTCTTTTCTTTACCTACATTCAGTCTGTTTTCTCTCCATTTTTCATATTTTCACCCTCAGTTTTCTGTTCATTTTCCCTCTTCCTCCCTTCTCTTTTCCCTCCCTTTAAGGCCTTGCCTACTATTATACAGCCAACAGCGATGACGTGCACGATGAAGTAGATGGACATCCAGTAGTTGATGGTGTCGGTGGCCTTCAGCAGCACGAAGCCCATGCACATGTAGTCGTAGGCCCTCATCTTTAGGAACCAGTGAATCCAGTCAAAGATGTTCTGCCCACGAGGGCCGAGCTTACTTCTGACAGAAGCCTCCATGGCCGATTCTGCTGCGATGCACAGCGGGATGGTCATGAAGGAGAGGTAGTAGCCGGCGTGTAATCCGTGCCAGTAGGCGCTGATGAACATGGTCCAGCCAGCCCTGAGAGGTCCAGACAGACAAGACAGAATCTAAAGTTTGGACCTACTTTTTTGTCTTTCTTCTAGTAGTAGTAGAAGCAGATTTAACAAACATGTTTTGTACTAAAGACCATAACTAAGCTTGCAAAACATGAAAAATCTTGCAGGCTTTAAGGCGTCACGACAGCCAACAGGTACCTTTAAAATAAGCGAAGCCTGTTTCACCCACCTGAGTGTGTAGGACTTGAAGGGGGCATTGGGGTAGATGTAGTGATGCAGCCACCACTGCACCGTCATGTTCCAGTAACGCATGCCGTGTCGAACCTTCACACAGAAGTCCGTGTTGTAACAGTCGATGTTCTGGATGGTTTTGAAGTCGTATTTCTCTTCAGTGGATGGATCAGCACTGTCCACAAGACGGCAAAAAGAAAAGAATAGTCATGATGTATAGTAGTCCCTCATTATTTCACGGTTTGTTTTTCGCAGACTCGCTCCATCGCGGTTTTTGAAAATAAGATTGGAGGACATAAACAATGGCTGATTGATGGATGAGCCACACAATTGGCATGGATTTTTTTTTATTTAAAATGAATTATTTTAAATTATTTAGCACCTGTGTGCAGCCCACAGCTGTGGGAGAAGCTTCCTCCTGCAGCTGATCAGCTGATCTCAGTGCAGAGCGGAAAAATGGGTGTGGTCGAGAGAGCAGCTGGAGGCAGAGAGCTGAGATCATGACATGCTGTGCTCTAGAGCATTTAGTTTAGAAACATTGTTAAGAATATTGCAAGAGTGTGGGAAGGGTTTTAAATGCCTTAATATACTGTTTTTCTTCTTCTTTCAGCTGCTCCCTGCATTAGGGGTCGCCACAGCGAATTAAGTCGCACAAAGACTTGGCAATTATTTTTATGCCGGATGTCCTTCCTGTTGCAACCACAGACCACCGAGCTACCACAGCCCTCTGTGTGGAGCAGAGAGCTGCTATCTAGGGCGCCCGGAGGAGCAGATGGTGGGGGTTAAGGGCCTTGCTCAAGGGCCCAGAGTGGGGCAAATGAGGGTGGGGGCAGGTGTGGGTGATTCACTTATCCCACCAACATTTTTTATGTCAGTACCGGGAGTTGAACCGGCGAACAGTTACATCCAACAATAAAATGTACAAGAAAAACAGTAATAACATCTAAGATATGAACTAAGAAAAACATCAACTAAATATACACTAAGGACTAATAGCATAAAAACATTACATCGAATATCAGCACAAACATGAACATTGAGTCTGTGTGAGCAGATGAGCACGCATGAACACATCAACATTGAAAAAGATCAGCAGCAACATGAAACAGATCAGCAGCAACATGATGTGATTTTTTTCACAGTGATTATTCTGGGGAGACTGACTCCGACAGACTTCTGTGCATATATATATATATATATATATATATAGAGAGAGATATATATCTATATATAATCTATATACACACACACACTAAAATAATACGGATCCCCCGCGATAAACGAGGGACTGTAGTATATACATTAACTATTAAAACACACAGATGCATTTTTATGGCCTTTTCTTCTTCTTCTTCAAAATAAAACTAGAAAGCGGTTTCTCACACACACAGTCCAGTCATGCACCTGTAGTTGACGGTGGGTCCTCCTCCAGGTTTAGAAAGCGCCTTTTCTGGATAACAGCCCAGACCTGCGCTGATACAGCCCGCCTCAGCTCCACACCACGCTGCGTAGAAACGCATCCTGAAGACAAAAAATACTGCGACCATGTAGAAGAACCTGTTGACAAAAAAAACAAACAAAAAATGTATTTACTTTCTCAGTTTAAGAAACAAGCTCCTGACTTTTTTTTGGAGGGAGGGTGTGGGGGGGGGGACATCTGTCTTACACTTCTCTCACTGAACTATTGTTATATCTACTGATTTCTAGGCGTTCTCTTACTAGAGGACAACCTTTCTCCTCTGTTCGTTTACAGGCCTGCTGTCACATCATGCTGCTCACCTGGAATCACTTCCTCATCTGTGGACTGCATAAAAGCTTCAGTGATCCAGTGCCACGCCCCTTTTTCCTTGGGCATTTCCACTTGGCCCTGAACATTGTTGTGGTTTGACTGACTTTGAACTTAACTCTGTGCACCAAATGTTTTAGCAACTCTGAGTTGATCTTTGTGATAATCTTCTGTGAACAGTTTCATGTAAGAACATTTGCTTAGATGGGAAGTTTGGTAGAGGTTCTCCCATTTTATTTTAAATAACTTTTCTTCTGTTTTGTGGCCAGCAGGGAGCTTAGGAATTGTAGTTTTTGTTTTGTTACGCAAGATGTGATTTTGTTTTCTAGCCAGAAGGGGCATTCTTTAGTTCGTTTTGGCCTCGAGACCCTGAAGTTCATTGCTTCCCTTCTGTATGTAACGCCCAAAACTATTAGAAGAATAAATAGTAATGTAATGTCAAATTGGGCTGTTTTTGAGTTACTAGCTTTACATTTAGTTTACTATATGTTACACCTTGCACCTCCTAGACTCAGTCCAAGGGTTGTAATGACTATTCAAAAGAAAAATGTAAATAATATTTTAAAACTTAACAATTATGTTACTATTCTGTCTATTTAGCTTAGCAAAAATCTTGAGTCTGCATTGTTAGTTCGACTGCACTGAAGCACATTATTTACATGTAAACTGCTGTTGCTCAACCACGTGTGAAAAGAACTACCTGTAGAAAAAGTTCTGATCCAGGAACTCGTCTGTGCGGACGTAGGGCAGTGGAAAGAAGGCGTTAACGGCCAGAAACAGAGCTCCGTACACGGGGACCGGCTTCAACCGCTGCAGACACGGCTCCCAGCCGGGCAGAGCCAGCGGTTTAGGATGACTCAGCCAATCAACGTACGTTTGGAAGCGAAAGAACGGACCTTTATAAAAGGTGGGATGATGGGACAAAGGAGAAAATTCAACAGTAAGAAGACAGGGATGAACAAATGGACCATCGGGACAATCCAAAATACGAAGGAGGGTGAAGAACAGCGTGGTACAAAAAAGGGAGGTATTGTTTAAGAGGAAAAGGGTGTGAGAAAACAAAAAGAGAGCAATACTAAAATAATATGGACTCACAATGTTGGACAAGTGGCAGTAAGTAAGGCAAAGAGAAACAGCAGTTAAAAATTATGCAAAAGAAAATTTGACATTGATCGCAACATAAACACAAAGTTATTGGGAGCTAACATGCACAAAATAGGATTATTTCTGTAAATTTAAAATTAATAAAACCAACATTATACAGAAAGGACATTTCTTCGTTCTTACCGGTCATTATACCAACATAACAGTAACTATAGGACAGAATGTCATAGAGGGAGGGCTCCTGAGTCAGACCACCAATGATGGGGGACTTTAAGAAAGCGCTCACGTCTCTTTTCTTCTCCTCATGGAAGCTGTGCACCTCGTTGGCAAGACTCACCATCTGAGTTAAAAACAAACATGATTAAAAAAAAGGTAAAATGTAAAGAACCTACTCATTTTGCATGTATAAGTTTTTTTTTTTTTACCTTAAGTGTGAGAATTAGCTGGACAGCGTTGGCAAAAGGTGTCGGTGGCGGCAGGTTAAACCAAGTGACCAAACGAAAAAATAGGAGATAAAGAAAGGTCCAGCTGAGAGTCAGAGCTGGGGCGTGCCTGTAAGACAGAGAGCAGGGCTTAGAGTTAGCGTCATTTCATAAAGACAATTGTTCAAGACTGGCTGCAGTGATGAAGCAAGTTTTTACTTTTAATGGCCACTTATAAACTTTTATTCCACCGGAAAAACTCAGCTTTTTTGCTTTTACATCTCATAATTAAAAAATGATTTGAGGCTCAGTCTGTTGTCTAAGACATATCAACGTATAAACCGGAGAAGATACTAAATGTTAAAATGTATTTGTTTCTTGCCAGTTTCAGATGCGATAACAATCATTAGGTTTCAGACAGCTCAGCTCTGAGAAAGAACAATCCACACAATCGTCAACTAAGAGAGCAAACTTTAGTAAACACTGACACGTAAATCAATAATTCCGAGTTGCAAATCCATGATTTTGACCTTTGTGCTTATAGTGAAATAATTTTTTTAAAGCGCGACGCTGATCCCTCACCGCCAGCTGCTCTTGATGATAATCCATGTTCCGATCACCGTCACCACAGAGTGCAGCGTGTGGATGTGACACAAGACGACGGTGATGAGAAGACCCAGAAGGAGAGCTGCTCGCTGCTTCACAGTGGGACCTGAAGCGACGTAAATTTTTAATTATTTCAAAATTGAAAAATACAAAAACAGCTTTTCAGTGCCTTCATACTTCAAATGATACAAATCTTTCTTTAAAAGCTACATTTAACTAGTTAATTTTTAAACCAGTATCTATATGCGACACAAATTAATCATCTGGGACTTTTGAAGCTCATAATCTCTCGGCTTTGATCGTGTCTTATACCTTATCTAAGACATTCATACATATCCACAGCTTGTGCTCAAAGTTGTGCAAAAGTACTCACTAAGATAACGGAAGAGAAACCCAACAGGAACGGAGGCAACAAGAACTCCCAAATACACCAGCTCATCAGGAGACATGGCTCTGCTGAAAGGAAGCGGATATCTGCTTTAAATTCACTCATGAAGGAAACCACATCTATACGGAAAAATCAATGACAGACACTGAATTATACATAGGAAATATAAGCAGTTAGGAATAATTATACTTTTAAATGTGCTGATCTAAAGTTCATTATCTAAATCAGTTTTCATTTAGAATGCATTAAAGGTGAATACTGTCCTGCTGTGCTTGGGTCAAAATGACCAGAGGCCCTCTGTTTATTTTGACCCAAGGGCAGCAGGAGGATTAAACGCAGTTGGTTTCAGGTACAAAATTACATCATATAAAGCTACTGTTGTCTTTATGTTAATTAAGACTAATTTGTTAAAGATGTCTGAACGTTTCAGTATCTTTGTGACAGGAAGAAAGACGCATTTCTCAGGGTCTACATCAGAGTTTGGTTCAATTTCTTTAATTTATATATATTTTTTTTATTTGTTCCCTTTTCAGGAATTGTCACAGAGTCATCCTCCTCCATCTCACGCTGTCCTCTGTCCTCACTCCAACTACCTCCATGTCCTCTCTAACTGCATCCATACAGCTCCTCTTTGTCTTGTTCCTGGCAGCTGCATTTCTAACATCCTTCTACCAGTATACCCACTGTCCCTCCTCTGGACATGTCCAAACCATCTCAGTCTGGCTCAGTCGTTCAACCTGTGCTGTACCTCTGATGATCTCATTCCTAATCTTATCCATCCTTGCCACTCCCAAAGAGAACATCTGTATTTCTACCAGAGTAATGAGTACAGGTTTATTTATCAGAGTTTTGGTAACCTGTTGATGCTTTAATTATTATAGCTAAAGCAAAAACTCATTAGAAAACAGTCACGTATGAACATTACACTAAAATAAAGTGCGAAAAGCTTCCAATGTTCATTTAAATTTTAAAATCCTTCAGAAAACCTGAAAACAACCCAACAGAAAATGCCTCTTTAAGACCAAACAGAAAAGCAATGTGGGATGCTACAAGACTTCTGCAGAGTATTGTATTAAACTGTAAGAATTAGGCTAACACATTTACACACTTTTACTTTTCTGGTACTTTCATGTACAATCAGGACAAGTTTAGACAAGCTGGTTTTAAGTTACAGCTGCATGAATCTCACAACTTCCTCAATGTCTCATTCACTTCACAATACATCACCACAGGGAACTTCACGGTGAAGTACCAGAGCTCCTTATTTAGGCCATTTCTTGTGATAAAGCGAACATCTTGTGGCAAATAATCGGTTCTTTCTGTAGGTTAAGCGTTTAATGCATTAGCTTAAATTTTCAGATTTTTAATTAAACAAAAGCACGAGGCAGGCCTGCCTTCAGAAATCTACCTCCAACAATAATGATGGTCAAAAAAACCAACAAGATGAAAACTAAATACAGCTGCTTAAAACATTCTGTTGACACAAAACATGACACTTGAAGGCCACATTTTCTATCAGCTAAAAACGCCGTTAGAAAGCTGTGCTGTTAGCATTTATGTATAAATAAAGTCGCTCACTCGTGACTAAAACTGTAACGGATCAACTTATTTGTTTTTATCTATTACTTGCATACCGATAACCTCCAGTTTTGATAAAATTGGTATCCTCTTCGACTCGGAACTCTGTTAATGTCTGCAACCGCCGTTCATTCACAGCTCGCCTGAGCTGTCACTTCCTCATTGACGAAAGGTAACGCCCACTATCTGTGACGTCAACGGATGAAGATGGCCTGATCTGTACACAACTACTGTACATAAAAAAGAAAAATACACAACTACTGTACA